AAGAAATAAAAGTAGAAATACTAAGACAAACAGAAGAACCAACAAAAAAATCACCAGCATAAAAAATAAACGACAAATAAGAATATTACAAAAAATGATACATTAAAATTTAAGAAAAAATACAATTTTATTGTAGAAAAAGCAAATAAAACTAGAAATAACAAAGAAACAGCAGAACAGAAAAAATAACAAAAGAACAGTAAAAATAACTAAATGACATACAACAAATTTAAAAAAATTATAAATTACTTACAAATTGAAAAATTTGAATAAAAATTTTATTGTACAAAAAATATAAAAGTAAAACTAACAAAAGAACAGTAGAAACTAGAAATAAAGAAAATTATAAGAATAGAAAATTAACGAAATGAGAAAATTAAGAAAACTACAAATTGTAAAAGAAAGTAAAAGTTGAAATAACAAAAAAAGAATCAGAATAACAAATAATTGTTCAGTGAGAGAATAAAAAAAAGACATAAATTGCAACTTAAAAAATTAGAAATATAATTTTATTATTCAGAATAATATATACAATATTTTCAATATTAAACTACAAATATTAGATATAAATATAAGAGTTAAATTTTCTCTGAAATTTACACATTTTTCAATAACAATAAATCTTAATTAATAATTTCATAATACGAAGACATGAATTAACCATAATATATTAATCAGAATAAATTTTCTCAAAATACTAGAATTAAATAATTTTTTGCTTAAATTATACTTTTAGCTGAATAAAATTATGACTAAAAAACATTTATAACAAGAATAATTAAATTTATTACATATATTAATAAATTCAATTATATGTATAAATATATAAATATATATATATAATATATAAATGTATTTATAATATATAAATGTATTTATAATATACAAATGTATTTATGTATATAAATAAATACATGCATATATTTATATAATATACATAATAATATATTTTTTTAGCAGACAAAAATTGTAAATATATAAAGTCTTTATAATCATATTAAATCTAATCTTAATTTTTTTTTATCTTCTACATAGAATCTAACGAGGTGAGATTTGATGATGTAACATACAGGTTTTTCTCACGAGATGTATACATACATGAAAATCCAAACAGATGTGAACCTTATTTAAAAAAAAAAAAAAAGAAAAAAAAATGTCAAGACGGAAATCCCACTTTACTCGTTTATAGTTCATTTGGCTTACAAAGATTGTAATAAATACTTGGCGTTCACGAATAAAATATTTTTTAAAAAAGGCGACTTAATATGTGACACGGTACTATTTTTTCATCTCTTAAAAAATTAAATAACGGTTCTGCCCTCGGAATATATTTAAAAAAAAAGAAACGTTCTAAACGTTATACTTAAAAATTACAATTATTCTTAAAATGTAAAAAAAAATGGTCACAGCTTATTATTTTTTTTTTTTGTACAATGAGAGAAACTCTTAATTAAAATTCCCCTCACGGAAAAAATTATTTTGAATCTAGAACAGCGATATTTTTCGTTCTAATAGCAAATTAATTAAAATAACTAAAATGGTGAAAGTAATTATTGTTCCTGATGAAGGAATTTTTTTCCGTTGAAAAAAAATTAATAACTAATGTTTTAATACAAAACTATAATTTTTATCTTTTCTTTCATTTTTTAACCAGGAAAAACATTTTAAATTTGAATAGCTGTAACAAATTTTAGAAAAAAATCCCTCTCATTGTATATCTAGAGACTTATTTTTTTTCTTTTTAGAAAAACTACTTAGAATTAACATAAATCTGGATAAAAAGTAGAAATTTGAAAAAATAAAAATGACAACAAAAAAAAAACGCATAAGAAACCGTTGTTCGTTTATCACGAGATGACTAATACAAAAGGTATTCATTCATGCATACAGCATTCATCGTAACTAAATTTATTTGTTATTAAAAAAAAAAAAAATTGAGTGTGAAAAACAAAACACTGAGAAATATGTATGATATTTCCCTTGAACCTGAGTTCACTTTTAATTTTTTTTTTCTTTTTTAAATCAATCATCCCGCATTGAAAAGAAGAAATAGTACAAAGTAATAAACGGATAATTTAGTAGACAAACAAAATTCTTTATTGAATAGACGGAAAAATGTAATTTTTACCATACGGGGAAAAAATGTAAAGTAATTTATATTACAGGAAAAAAAGTGTGAAGTAATTGTTTACAAGAAAAAATAATTTTAATAATAATTTAGAGAGAATGTGACATTAAGAATTTTATTTCTTTATTTCAATAGAAATTTATCTGCCTATTTGCGAAAGAATAAGCAAAATTTAATTTCAAGTAAAAATTCCATCAACAATTCTTTCCGTCTATTCAATTTAATTTCTCTCTTCTTCGTCAATTAAATTTTCCCCAAAGAAAATTAACATTCGATGTATACAAATATATGTTTCTATTTTTATTTTATTTTTCGTGATTATTTCGTTTGCAGAGTGACTAGTCTCAATGATTCCTTTTTCTTCGAAAGGAACGCGTAATAATCTATACTGGCTATGACAATGACAGTGTCATATTCCTTATCCAAGAATTTATTTGAAACTAGTATTTTAAAAAATAGTATTAAAAAAAAAAATTGTTCGAAAGCGAAGATAAGTTTATTACATATATATATAGTTATAATATAAAAATGATATCTATCTATGCATTTAAAAAAAATTGGTCTTTCTATTAAAGAAATTGTTTTAGGAATTATTTATAAATTTAAACGCGACTCGGAGTTTAATTTCTAAAATGGACCTCTAATAGATTTTATATAGTACTAGTCCCATTTAGGAATTAAGCTTCCATTATACGATACGTCCGTTTTTTGAATGTTATATATCTGAGAATAAAAACTATTAGCACTTTAGTACCATTACCAATCGTGAATTTGTGTATATACTATATATATATTCATTCCAGACATTTAACTCCTATTTTTTCTTCTTCTTTCGGACTTTTTGTAACAATGTCTTTTTTTATCAAAATCATTTTGTAGCGGAAATATTCTTTTCGAAAAAAGAAATTTAACTCCTCATTTTTCTTCTTTTTCGTTACAATTAAATTTATTTTTGTATACAAAATATTTTTCTAACAAAATATTATTGTTACAAAAACATTTTTACGTAGAAAAAAAGGAACCAATGTTTACAATTGTTTTCCAACCAATTAGAAAATGCTACCAATGTTTTCAGAGTTTTTTTTGTATCAAAATAGTTTTGTACCGAAATATTTTTGTATCAAAATGTTGATGTAACAAAATCTTATGATAACAAAACCTTGGTTATGGAAAAAAAATTTAGCACAACCTTTTTACACCAAAAAAGTGAAATTTAACTCCTACTATTTTTTCTTTTTTTTTTTTTTTTTTGAGCTTTTTTGTTACAAATATTTTACTAAAAAAAAATTTTTTTTTTAAATATTGTTCTATCAAAATATTGTTGTAACAAAATCTTTTTGTAACAAAACATTTTTTACCAACAAAAAAAATAAATTTACCACCTAATATTTTTTTGACAGAGCTTTTTTGTTACAAATATTTATGTACCAAAATATTATTGTAAAAAAATATTTTTGTACCAAAATATTGTTGTAACAAATTATTTTTAGTTTTTCAGAATATTGTTGTAACAAAATCTTCTTGCAACAAAACCTTTTTTACCAAAAAAAATTTAACTCCTAACATTTAGTCCTTTTTCGGAGCGCTTTTTTGTTACAAATATTTTAATAAAAAAATTTTTTTGGCAAACTATTGTTACCTATTACAAAATATTGTTCTGTTAAAATATTACTGTATCAAAATCTTTTTATAACAAAACATTTTTTACCAACAAAAATAAAGAAATTTAACACCTAATATTTTTTTTGTTGCAGCTTTTTCTTGCAAATATTTATGTACCAAAACATTATTGCAAAAAAATATTTTTCTACCAAAATATTGTTGTAACAAAATATTTTTGGTTTTTCAGAATATTGTTGTATCAGAATCTTTTTGCAACAAAACCTTTCTTACCAAAAAAAAATTTAACTCCTAACATTTTGTCCTTTTTCGGAGCTTTCCTTAGAAATATTTGAATACCCAAAAATTTTTCTTGTGAAAATATTGTTTGTTACCTATAAAAAAATATTGTTCTTTCAAAATATTGTTGTATCAAAATCTTTTTATAACAAAACATTTTTTACCAACAAAAAAAAAAAGAAATTTAACTCCTAATATTTTTTTGTCAGAGTTTTTTTGTTACAAATATTTTTCTACTAAAATATTGTTGTTACAAATATTTTTCTACTAAAATATTGCCGCAACAAAATATTTTTGATGTTTTAAAATATTGTTGTATTAAAATATTTTTGCAACTAAACATTTTTTACCAACATAAAAAAGCAATTTAAGTCTTAATATTTTTTTCTCAGAGCTTTTTTGTTACAAATATTTTTCTACTAAAATATTGCCGTAACAAAATATTTTTGATGTTTTAAAATATTGTTGTATTAAAATCTTTTTGCAACTAAACATTTTTTAACAAAAAAAAAGATTTTTAACTCGTAATATTTTTTTTGTCGAAGCTTTTTTGTTGCAAATATTTATGCACCAAAATATTATTGCAAAAAAATATTTTTGTACCAAAATATTGTTGTAACAAAATATTTTTGTACCAAAATATTTTTGTACCAAAATATTGTTGTAACAAAATATTTTTGTACCAAAATATTGTTGTAACAAAATATTTTTGTACCAAAATATTGTTGTAACAAAATATTTTTGTACCAAAATATTGTATCAAAATCTTTTTGCAGCAAAACCATTTTTTCCTAAAAATTTTTCCTAATATTTTTTCTTTTTTTCGGAGTTTTTTTTAACATATATTTTTGTACCAAAATATTGCACCAAAAAAATTTGCTTTTTTAAAATATTATTGTATCAAAATCTTTTTGTAACAAAAATTTTTTACCAAAAAGAATTTGAATATATTTTTTTCTTTTGGAGTCTTTCTGTTACAAATTTTTTTTTTTTGTATTAAAATATCGTTGTAACAAAATATTTTTGTATCAAAATATTTGTCTAACAAAACTTGTTGTAACAACCTTTTTTAATACAAAAAAAAAAAATAAATTCAACTCCTAATATTTTTTCTTTTTTTGCATTTTTTTGTTACAAATATCTTGGTATCGGAAATTATTATTGTTTCGAAATTTTTTTGTAACAAAACCATTTTTACCAAAAAAAAAGGAATTTGAATCAAAATTTTTCTTCTTCTTCCCCTAGGTTTTTTAATCTAACAAATAATTTTGTAACAAAATACTTCTGTACCAAAATATTGTTGTACCAAAGTATCGTCTTATCAAACTATTTTCGTACCAAAATATTTTTCAAACAAAATCTTCTTTGCAACAAAACCATTTTTACCAAAGAACGAAATTTAACTCCTAATTTTTCTTCTTTTCTCAAAGTTCTTTCTGTAACAATTTATTTTTTGTAGCAAAATATTTTCGCATCATATTTTTCTAACAAAATCTCTACCATTAAAAGAAATTGAACTCCTAACTTTTTCTCCCTTTTTTCCTAATAGTTCTCGTGTAACGAATCTTTTTCCACCAAAAAAAAATATTTTCGTAACAAAACTTTTTTTCACCCACTGTTTGGTGAAAATTTTTCCGACCAAATTTTTTTTTTTTGATCATTTAATTAAAATTTTATTAAAGTCTTTAAAAAAGTGTTTTGGACTCAGGGCGTTTTGACTAGGTTTTCACCCATTTTCGTTCGTGTGATGAGAATCGGCGTTTTCGGAACACTGTCAGGATTCTCCTGTAGGATAATTTTCACTCGCTGTGCATCGGGACTGAGTGGCGGACTACCGAAATCCGTCATTGGAGTATTAGGCGGTGCCTTTATTTCACTTTGTGACAAATTTAACGGCGGAACAATGGGATGTGTTTTTCCGTTTGTTGGCGAATGGGTAACTTCATCAAGATTCGATTTTCTTGGTGGTTTCACAGGATCTTGTTCTTGTGTTTCGTTTGCCGTTGGAGTTTCCTTCAGTCCATTTCCATTTTGATTCACAATTTCCTTATCGTCCTGCAGGGGGACCTTTATTAATGGCACACTTTCCGCATTGCCATTGGATATTTTCGGTTGTACCGCATTGTTGCCCTCGAGTAGGGATTTTCTCATTTCCTTCAGCTCGGTGCCACGTTCGACATCGTCGGGAATTCGTTTCTTTTTGCAGAAATCACCCTTGAAGGCTGCTAGGATAATGAGGGCGATGAAAATGCCGAGGAGGACTATTAGCACCACCATTGGGGCATTACCGGTCTTTGCCTCTTGAGAAGCGTCCGCTAATTCTTGTTTTGTTTCGGTGTTCTTTGATTTTTCGACTTCGGATGTTTCGGGTACTTTTTCGTGGGGTTTTTTTGGTAGCATTGCGTCGGCTTCTGATGCTTTCTCGGGAATGACTGGTAGGAATTCCTCTTTTTCGATTTCGGGGAATTTTGGGGTTTTGTCTTCTGGTTGGAGTGTGGTTGGTGAATCGGGCCAATTGCCGAAGATGGAGTCGAACAAACTGCCGGAATTCGAGGCGTCTTTGTCGAATACGGTGTCCTTGAAGGCTGACTCCTCTTCTCTTGTTTTGGTGAAGTCTATCGGTGGTGTTAGTGTTCCGGAACCCTCGTCATCATCGCCGGAACCTTCGTTGGAGAATAGATCAGATTTATCGGAGGGTTTTTGTGTTTGATGATTTGTTTCGGTTGATGATGATTTTTCCTCGCTGTCGAAAAATAGACCATCGTCGCCTTTTAATTTGGTTTTCTCCAAAGAAACCTCGATCGATTTGGTTGAAGTCTCTTTTTCTGGTGTTGTTAGTGGAACAGTTGTTTCCAAAACTGTAGGTTCGGTTGTTTTCGGATTTGGTGCTTCGGTCGTTTTTGGCACTTCTGGCATTGGTGTTTCTGGCACTGCTATTTCTGGTGCTGGTGTTTCCGGTGCTGGTGTTTCGATTTCCGGTTCCTTTGGTGGTGTTTCAACATCCTCAAGTCCTCCATCGTCATCATCGGTTATTTCCTCATCACCAGATCCGAAATCTTCCAAACCTTCTGCATCATCTTTACCAAACGGTTGATCCTTCTGCATTCCTTCATCTTGTTCCTCAAAAATGCAAACTAGTTCTGAAGTTGGCTTCAATAGGGACAAACCCTTTACTCCAACTGGTCCACTGCAAACAGCTCTCTTAGCAATCTTTACTCCCTTCTCCACCAATTTATCCCTTACTCTCAAAGTTGCGCAATCACAATCAATATGGTTTCTCGTAATGTCGAGAAATTTAAGATTCTTCAAATCGGTCAGCGCTTCCGGAAGTGAGCGTAAATTGTTCTTCTTCAAACTGAGAGTTCGCAATTTTTTCAAACCCTCCAAAGAACTCGAATTTAAATGCCTAATGTGATTCTCCGCTAAATTAAGTGAATGAAGTTGTGACAATTGATGAAATGTTCCAGGTGAAATCTTCGATAAATTCCCCCTCGAAAGGTCCAAATGTTTGAGACTTGTTAAATTTCCAAGTAGGTTCGGAGTCAAAATATTCTCCTCGATTGATGTTTTTAGAGTGACAATATCCTCCCGTTTGATATCAACAATGTCCTTTAGTGAATGACAGTTGGCAATTGTGGAATTTTCGATGGTACATAATCCCTCCGTTGGCCTCCAAAAGTCCAGGAGGAATAAGAGGAAGAATCCAAAGAGATCCGTTGACCGCATTTTTATTCCAAGAGACCTGAAAAAATTCCAAATAATTAGAAACACGACAAAAAAGAGAATTATCAATAAAGATTTTCCATCATTTTAGAAACAAACAAAATTTTTTTTTTAATACTAAAATTCAAGTAATAAATTCTAAATAGTTGTCTTATTTGATAGCACTCCGAAGCGAGCTCCGAAGTGAGCTTTTCAGGTATCTTTCTTCGGAGCGCGTCACTAATTTTAAACAGTTTTCAAATAATAAATTTAAAAACAAACATTGACGACAAACATAATGTAAATTTCCTCCTAGTCATATATTAAAAACGTTTTTTCTCTATCGTAATGTAAAAAAAAAATTTTTATTAATCTCAAAGTTTTGTCAGAAAATAACAAAAAGAAATAAAGGAGAAAAAAAAAGTTGAATAACAAAGAGCTATTATATTTACTGCTTTGCTAAGTCAGATGAACGTCAGTGGAGAAAAAAAATTGGTAGTTATAGAGGTTAATGGCATTCAATGATTGAAGACGAAAGATTAATGAATCTCGGTCTTTCTTGCAAAGAGAGATGATAAACGATTAAAAAAAAAGAACGTAAATGATGATAATGTTACTTTATTCTTAAAATCAACATTAGAGGACAGGTAAACATGTACGATCTAAAATTAACTATATATATCTTATAAAGAGCGAGAAGACTTTGCATTATTGTAAATACGCACTGATAAGAAATATTTGATCGAAAATATGATAACATCAATATCGAGAATACGTAAACAATAAAAAAAAAACAATCAGAAAAATGGAAAAGATCAAATTTTTTATAATTTTGACCTAATTTTTGGTCTAATGTAGTAAATTAGTTAATTTATTTTCATTAATTAGATAACTAATTAAATAACTATTTGATTTGTTTAATTATTTATTTCTCTATTTATTTATTTATCTTTGTATTTATTTATTTATTTTCCCAACCCTAATTTTTTTTATTTTTTGTTTATTTATTTATTGCTTCACTTATTTATTGACTCTAATTAATTATTTATATATTACAGACTCTAATTTTCAAACGTTTATTAATTATTATAGAAAATACATTACTTCCTCTATGAGAAAGCAATATTTAAAATGTCAATTTAATTAAGAGTTTGAATTACTTCTTAATCCGAAACAAGGTTATTAAGCAAAAATAATTTAGTAAAAACAATTCATTCTTTAGTAATTCTTTAGTAAAAACTTATTGCTTTTTGTAGTTCCAAAAAACGAGGCCAATAACAAATTAAACAAAAAAAATGTGTGAAATAATTTAGTTTCTTCGTAAGAATTTAAAAAATTTTTTAAATTAACATCATTTATTACAACATTCTCAAATTATTATTATTAATTATTATTATCATTATTACCATAAACATTAATTATTATAATTTTTATCATTATTATTTATTTTTTTGATGGTAATATCAGGCTACGTTCTCGATAAATAATTTTAGAAAAGTAGCAAAAAGCATATTTAAGATTAAAAAATACTATTAAAAATAGGCTAATTTTTTGAAATAAATATTCAAATGCCTATTCACTTTTCCACAGGAATTAAAATATTTTAAATAATTTCAATGTATTACAAAATTCAATTATTTTTTTGTTGGAATTTTTAAATAAAATTCTTCAAAATTTAAATCATTTTATTTCAAAATAAAAATTTTAATATTATTACAGTTTTACAACAATTAAAATTTTTAAAAGATTTCAATTTAAAATTTTTTGAAATATATCTAATTAATTTCTTAAAATTCATAATATAAGGCTTATAATATTATATTTATTATATTTAACTGAAATTCAATTTTAAATCAACTCTTATTAAAAAGTTCTTCAAGAATTCAATTATTTAAGTACTAAGTAAAAAAATTTATTGAATAATTAAATATTTTTGAAAATTAAATTCTTATAAAGAACTTTATCAAAATTTTTTTAAATAATTGAATTCTTCTAAAGAGATTATTACAATTTTTAAAAATAAGTGATTTCTATCAACAAGTTTTGTTATACTTTTTAAAAATAATTGAATTTTTCCGAAGAATTTTATAACTTTTGAAAATAATTGAATTCTTGCGAAAAATTTTATTAAAATTTTTTTTAAAAATAATTTAATTCTTTTGGGAAATTTTATTAAAATCATAGATATTAAAAATAATTAAATATCTACTACACAGGAAAAAAAAAGTGTTATTTTAACACTAAAATTAGTGTTAAAACAACACGCAACATTTTTAACCGATACTGCGTGATTTTAACACTTTATTGGCGTTAAAATAACACTAGAGCGTGTTAAATTAACACTAGAGGGTGTTAAATTAATATACATTTTTAATAGGGTTAAAATAACACCAAAATTGTGTTAAAACAACACTATCTGACAACTACACGCAACAAATTTAACACATATTTTTTCTGTGTAATTTTTTAAATTAATTAAATTTCAACGAAGAATTTCATGGAAATTTATTGAAAATTATTGAATTGTTACAAAGAATTTCATAACAATTTTTAAAAATAATTATTAAATTCTAATAAACAAATTATATCAAAATTTTTTTAAAATGATTTTTCTAAGGAATTCTTCTAAATTTTATTAAAATTCTTCAAAAGAATTTAAATTCTTTGGAAAAATTTTAATAAAATTTTTAAGAATAATTGCATTTTTCGAAAAAATTATTTTAAATTATAATAAAAATAATTATAAATCCTGTGATGAGTTTTATTAGTCATGAAATTAACATTTTTAAAAATAATTGAATTCCTTAGAAGAATTTTATTATTCATAAAAATAATTGAATTCCTTAGAAGAATTTTATTATTTATAAAAATAATTGAATTCTTACGAAAATTTTTTTAAATAATTAATTTTTTCCAAAATATTTTGTGAAAATTGTGTTTCAATGTTTTAAATAATTGTATTCCTGTAAAAATGTAATTATTTATGAAAATAATTGAATATTTGCAGAGAATTTTATAAACTTTTTTCTATAATTTGAATTTTTTTGGGAAATTTCTTATTAAAATAATAGGTATTGAAAATAATTGAGTTTCGAATCATTTTTTAAAAATAATTGAATCGTTTGAAAAAAGTAATAAAAAATTAGTAAATTGTAGGTTTTATAGTAAATGAGTACTAAGACTATAAAAATTATTTTAGATTTACATTGAAATAATAATATTAAAATAGTTTATAAAGAAATAATAGTAATCAAAATTTGTTTTCTACAACTATTTTTTTCATTGTCATTCAAATATTTATTATATGAATATTGTTATATAAATAACAATAATAATCTTTGAATTTTAAGATATACAAAATTTTGAAATGAAAAAAAAATTTAATTCAAATATCTATGTAAAATTAAATAAAATAAGTAAAATAAAAAAAGCTATTAAAGTAAAAATACTTAAATTATGAATAAACACTGGAAAAAAAATTTATTTGATTTAAATAACCGATTTATTGACTATTATCAATTAAATATTTACTTGAATCAAATAATATTTATTGGAGTCAATTAAATGGTATTTGAACCAATAATTTCAGTATTTGAAGCAAATATGAATTGAACCATTTAATTGACTCTAATAAATATTATATTTGATTCAATTAAATATTTAATTGATAATAGTCAATTAATCGGTTATTTGAATCAAAATAAATTTATTTTTCAGTGTAGAAATAAAAAAAATGTAATTTATTTGTTTACATACATTTTAGACAAGATAAATTTTTTTTCATCGTGCGTTATGGAAATATTTTTTTCCTGCGATTAGTTTGAGATTACTTTTGAAGAGAATTACTTTGGGACATTTTTCCGCAATTAATAATTAATTATATGAAAAAATATGAAATTAATTATAATCGTGACATTAATTTATATTTTTTGTTTTAATTATGATAAAGAAGCACTAAAAAATTGACTAGAGCGTTAAAATTTTGCTATTCACGCACTTATAAACGCACTTTGCAAAAGACACTCTTTTCGCGCGATGGCAGCAGCATCAGCAAGTAAACTTCCTTTGAACGACGCGATATTCTATACATAGAATATAAGCAACATTCGGCATGCTATTTGCACTATTTTGCATACTATTCACCAAATGGCGACAAAACTCTGACGTCATTCACGATTCTACACGTAAAGTATATGGGCAATTCCACGTGAGATTTTAGTCGACCTCTTAAAATCGGCCAAAAATATTTTTTTTTCTATTCTGTATCGAAAAAAAACAGATACGTATTTTTTTATTTATGTTTAATTGTCCAAATTTTCGAGTTATGAATTTTCGAAAATTTGGACTTTTAATTGTAGACCTATATTCAGTAGCTTATAAGTCCGAAAATATTGAGTTTAGGAAAAAGTTGTCAAAGAATAAAAGTTTTAGTTTTCTTTCGAATTTTAAGAAATGTAAACAAAAAAATTGTTTTTTAATTTTTTATTAAAAAAAAATTTTTTTTTTATAAACAAATTAATTTTTTTTAACTTTGGGCCGGATTTTTTTATATTTTTTTAAAATTTATTTATACCTTATAATATAGAGAAGATTTTCCAAAAAGTCCCGAAATTGGCCTGATGTGTTAAATGAGTTTTAAAATATTTTCAAAAATCACTTGCAAGCATCACAGTGGGATTTTTTTTACAATTAACTATTTAAAACTGTCTACAGCGTAGACCCTTTAATTTAAAACAAAGAACACTCAAATAGATTAAAAATTATACGCTGTAGACAGTTTTAAATAGTTAATTGTAAAAAAAAATCCCACTGTGATGCTTGCAAGTGATTTTTGAAAATATTTTAAAACTCATTTAACACATCAGGCCCATTTCGGGACTTTTTGGAAAATCTTCTCTATATTATAAGGTATAAATAAATTTTAAAAAAATATAAAAAAATCCGGCCCAAAGTTAAAAAAAATTAATTTGTTTATAAAAAAAAAATTTTTTTTAATAAAAAATTAAAAAACAATTTTTTTGTTTACATTTCTTAAATTTCGAAAGAAAACTAAAATTTTTATTTTTTGACAACTTTTTCCTAAACTCAATATTTTCGGACTTGTAAGCTACTGAATATAGGTCTACAATTAAAAGTCCAAAATTTCGAAAATTCATAACTCGAAAATTTGGACAATTAAACAAAAATAAAAAAATACGTATCTGTTTTTTTTCGATACAGAATAGAAAAAAAATATTTTTGGCCGATTTTAAAAGGTCGACTAAAATCTCACGTGGAATTGCCCATTATACAAACGGCAAAATGAGTTGCGCATAATATTATTTTATTGTTGATATATATTAAAAAGAAGAAGAAGAAGGAGAAGGAAAAAAAAGAAAACAATGGATAATTTCTCATTTTCTCTTTGTGGAAAATTTTCAAAGAAAATCATAAATAAGCAAGAGGTGATAATAATTTATAGATATAAAAATGAAAATTTGTTTCTTGACTTTAAACAAAAAATTCTTTTGAAGTTATAATATGAAAACGCATTTTTTTATGCAGCGACAGAAAAAAGAAAAAATAGAAAAAAAGAAAAAATAGCAAAAGATAAAAAATAAGGAAAGAAGAAATAACAATAAAAAAAGGAGGAAACAAAAAAGGAAATAAGAAAAAAAGAAAAGAAGAAACAAAAAAGAAATAGAGGGAAAAAAGAAGAAACAAAAAAAGAAAAAAAAGAGGAAGAAATAAAAAAAAAAGAAATAAAATAAAAAAGAAACAGAAAAGGAAATAAAGAAAAGAGAAGGAACAATAAAAAAAGATGAAGAAGAAGAGGCAAAATTAGAAATCGATTACTAAATAAAATCCTATAAAAATATTTAAAAAAATTTTTTTTTAAATTTAATTTATAAAGTTTTACCACCATTTTCTTTTCTTGACATTTAAAGAGACTCATATTTTCTTATCACTAACTCCATAAAGTTTATCCACAATTTATCTTGATGGTAATGTTTACTCATCTAATCACAGTACAATATTAGGTCGGAAATTTGTTCATTTAACTGCAGCAAACAATATTTCAAAAGGTTGCCAACATAATTAATACCAATTGTATATGAAAATTAATCTTTTGACACGAATAAAATTAATTTTACAGATTATTATTTTAAAAAATAATTCTAATTATAAAAGAACTATTTATTATTGTATAAAAAAAATTAATATTGTATTATTACTATCAATTTATTAATCTTTTATTAATTAAACTTTTCTGTTTTTGAATTTCGCGCCAATAGTTCATAAAATTGCCGCCTAGATGTCATGAAAATTCTCTCATAAACGAAATGAAATGAGTTTTTATAAAACTTTTGCTGCTGAGCTTATACAAATGAATAAGAATTAATAAAAAAAATAAATATCATGTAGAGTAAATAATAAAAAAAATAATAATAATAGTAGTAGTAGTAGTTAGAATAGTACTAGTAATAGTATTAGTAGTAGTACTACAAGTAGTAATCGTGTTAGAAGTTATAATTATTATAAAAAATATATTAATAATAATAATAATAATAATAATAATAATAATAATAATAATAATAATAATAATAATAATATTAATAATAATAGTAGTAGTTGGAGTAGTATACTATTAATAGTATTTTATTAAAAGTTCTTAATAGTTCTAGTAGTTATAATTATTATAAAAAATAAATAATAAAAATCCTAATTGCTACTATAATGACAATAATAAAATTGAATTTTATATCTATAATTCTTTAAAGTAGTCGCAACATTCTTTGTCATTATCGTATTCTATTTACGTAGTACAATAAAAACGTAATTATTGTTTACTTCAGTAAGAAGTTCAATAAGATAGCATAATTGTTGCAATAAGTTATTAAATTACGTGCTAATTTTCAAAACGATATTTTCACAATAATGCAACTTTCTTACCTATAAATTTTTATATTTTATACAAAATTTACTTAAATATTATTTTTACTGTTGGGCTTTGTTATAAATAAATAAATAAATGAAAATAAACAAGAGCAACAAAAATAAATAAATAAAAATAAACAAATACAAAAAAATTAATAAGCAAAAAAACCAATGCAATAAAAATAAACAAATACGAAAAATTAATAAATAAAAAAAAAAATAAAATACATAAGAAAATTTAACAAATGAAAATAAACGAATACAAAAAGTGAATAAAAAAAACAATTACAAACAAATTTAACAAATTGAAATAAAAAATGCAAAGAAATGAACAAGTAAACAATTATAAGAAGAAATAAATAAATACAACTAAATAAATAGAAAAAAAATTTAATAAATAATAAAAAACCAATATAAAAAAATTAATAAATAGAAAAGCAAATACAAAATAATTTAACAAATAAAAATAAACAAATACAAAAAGTGAATAAATGAAAAAAATGAAATAGAAAAAGTGATTAACAAAAATAACAATTATAAAGAAATTGAAATAAAAAAATACAAAAAAATTAATAAATAGAAAAGCAAATACAAAATAATTTAATAAATAAAAATAAACAAATACAAAAAGTGAATAAATGAAAATAAACAAATAGAAAAAGTGATTAAAAAAAATAACAATTATAAAGAAATTGAAATAAAAAAATACAAAAAAATTAATAAATAAAAAAACACTAATATAAAATAATTTAACAAATAAAAATAAACAAATACTTTCTGTGAATAAATAAATGAATAAATAAAGAAAAATAAAAATACAAAAAATACAAAAAATGAACAAATAAACAATTATAAAAAGAAATAAATAAATACAAATAAATGCAAAAAAAAAATTTAATAAATAAAAAACAAATACAAAAATTGATTGAATAAAAATGAACAAATACAGAAAGAAATTAATAAATAAAAATATATAATTACAAAATATTACAAATACTGAAAAATTTCATACTTTGCAAAGAATTTTTTTTTCTTTAATGAAATAAAAAAAAATAATAATTAAAGACAAATGATGAGTGAAATTAATAAATTGTTCTAGTTAATTTTTCAATTCCTATATTAGCATGTCTCGTTAACGAATATATAAAAGAAAAAATCGACATCGAGACATAAAATGATAAATAAACTGAAGGGAAAAAGAACGGATTGAAATATACTCACGTTTCGTTTACTCAGATGTGGTGTTCTTTAGAAGGAGCGCGGCTCCGGTAGCATCTGCAACATTTCAATGAATTCGCACATGTAAAATCCTGTTTACAAAACAATCTTTCAAAGTAAGATAAAAGCTCAAATGATAAATGACCCAGAAAAAAAATTATTTACTCCAATAATTGAGTTTTTTTTATCAATTTTATTATTATTATTATTATTTATTTATTTATTTTCAATGTAATTTTATTTTGTTCATTTCTAAATTTTTAAAAATTATTAACAAAAAAAAAAAGAATTTTACATAAAATAAAAAATTATTGTTATACATATTTAAAAACAAATATTAATTGTAATGTTAGTAAAAAATTGTGTTATCAAAAAATTAATATAGATTACAAATAATAAAAAAAAAAAAATATGTGAAAAAAATCTTCGTAAAAACATTATTTGTTACAAAATACAAAACTGAAGAAATGAATATATTTACTTTGATGAAATTAACAAGGAGCACGTGGTGTATTATTCTATTAATAGGTTCATTCTTGGTTGGCTTAATGTCACCCGAATACCACCGCACGTGGTGAATATTTCATTCATGAATATCTTTAGACACCACATTGACATAATATTAAACAGAAATATTGTTTCTATAATTTCAACACTTCATTTTTCATTCCAAAATTTACCTGACAGGTGAAAATTTATGCAAAGTGAAAAATTTCTTCTTAAAATAATATAGATATTAAATGAAGTTATCAATGGTGGAAAAATTCAATTCGTAAAATAAATAATTTTAGTTAATTAACAAATTCAGTTATTTCCTTTAGTTGATAAATTTAGAAATTTTTTTATTTATCTAGATAATAAATTCAATTATTTAATTTATCTAGTACCTGGTTAATAAATTTAGTTATTTAAATTAAATAAATAAGAAATTTATGTATAATTAAAAAAATTTTTTATTTAATATTGTTAGTTGATAAATTTATATTTATTAAATTTTATTTAGTTAGGTAATAAATTCAATCATTTAATACAGCTAGTTAACAAATTTTTTTATTTTTTATTAAAATTTTTTTTATTTAGTTACTTAACAAATTAAATTTTTAAATTCAGTCAGGCTATTGCCTGACTTAATTTAAAGAATTTTTTAGGCTAATTTCCATTGGATAATGTACATTGTATAAATGCTTGGATTGTTTTATACAAATTTGTATTCAATTTTTAAATTTTTTAAAATGAATAAATTAAACTGAAAAAGTTAGTTAACAAATTTAATTTTCTTTAATCAGGTAATTAATTTAGTTATTAAATTTAATTTAGTTAACAAATTTAGTTATTTAATTTATTTAGTTGATAAATTTAGCAATGACTTTATTTCATTAGATTAATAAATTCAATTATTTATAGTAGCTAGTTAACAAATTTTGTTATTTTATTCAGTTAGTTAATAAATCAAGTAATTAAATTTAGATATTTATTACATTTACTGTATTTAACTTAGTTAATAAATTTACTTCCTTAATTAATTTAATCAACAAATTTCCTCAGTCAATAAATTTTCATTTTCATTTTCTCCTAATTATAATTTCAATTACAGCAAATTGTTCAGAAACATGTATAAAATATATACGAAAGTTCTCACTTCGATTCAGCACAAATCGATTTTTATCACAAAACATTAAAAAAAAAAACGGAAGATAATTTTTTTTTTCTATATAAAAAAGAAAAAAATTTCTCTTTCCTTCGATTTGAAAACGGTACTGTTTATATACTGAAAGCGAGAAATGCGAGAAATTGAAAGACGATAAAATACATAAAGATTTTCGCCATTCATATGGACATGTCAATCGAGTGTCAAGTATATCCTTTAGAATTGATGATTAGAGAAGTCACCAATGCACAACCAAAAATGAAAAAACGAGTGCATTGCATACGAGTATTACAACTTTGGTCATGGGAGGCTATTTAGTTGTTCCGTGAGTAACGGTGTTTATAGTCAGCATTCAATGGTCCAGTTTGTCACGTGTTTGAAACTCTATTGAGAAAACCATCTTCTATCGTGTGATGAGCATCTCAATGTCAATCTTATTCTCTAGCCGGAAGTAGAAAGTGCTTTTATGGAAAAATTTATATACAAAATTCTCACTAAAAGGCAGAAGAAAACTTGATTTAATCTTTTATTTATTCATCGCTGAGAAGAAAACTAAGTAATTTTTTGTCAAAGTAAAATCTATAAAGTATAAACAATAAAATTTCTATACTTAGCAAGTTCCACTATTTTTATTATTTTATTTATTTGTTTATTTGAATTTTTGTTTATTTATTTGTTTAATTATTTCATTGTTTAATTGATTTCTTTGTTCTTGTCTAAGTTCTTTTGTTTATTTATTTAATTGTTTATTTTATTCATTTGTTTATTTATAAATTTTTGTATATACTTGTTTATTTCTTTGTTTATTTGTTTATATATTTATTTATTTGCGTATTCGTGCATTTACTTGTTTGTTCACTTGTTTATTTATTTATTACTTGTTTATTAGTGAAACTTTTTATTTAACTGTTTGTTTTATTTGTGTATTTATTTTTCTGGAGAATTTTTAAATTCTATACTTAAAACTTTCACAATTTTTACTATTTTATTTATTTTTTTGATTATTTGTTTATTCATTTGTTTATTTGTGTTTTTTTTATTTGTTTATTTGTTTTTTGGTTATTTTGTATTTTTTTTATTTATTTGTTTAAATTTTTGTGCATTTATTTGTTAATTTATTTGTTTATTCATTCATTTATTTATTTGTTAATTTATTTGTTTATTCATTTGTATAATTATTTTAATGTTTATTTGATTCATTTGTCATTTGTACAAAATTCTCACTAAAAGATAGAAGAAAACTAATTTAGATTTAATCTTTTGTATATTCATCGCTAAGAAGAAAACTAAGTAATTTTTTCTCACAGTAAAATCTAAACACTAAAATTTCTATACTTGGCAATTTTCACTATTTTCACTATTTTATTTATTTTTTTATTTGAATTTTTGTTAATTTATTTGTTTAATTATTTCATTGTTTAATTGATTTATTTGCTCTTGTCTATGCGTTTTTTTGTTTATTTATTTAATTGTTTATTTATGAATTTTTGTATATATTTGTTTATTTATTTGTTTATTTATTTATTTGTTTATATATTTATTTATTTCTTTGCTTATTTATACATTCATTTGTTTATTTATTTATTTTATTTGTTTATTAGCGAATTTTTTTATTTAACTTTTTGTTTTATTTGCCTATTTATTTGTCTGCAAAATTTTTAATTTCTACATTTAAAATCTTCACAATTTTTACTGTTTTATTTATTTGTTTATTTGTTTATTCATTTATTTATTTATTTACATATTTGTGCTTTTATTTTGTTAATTTATTTGTCTATTTATTTATTCATTTATTTATTTACTTATTTGTGAATTTTTGTATTCATTTGTTTGGATAATTGTTTTTTTATTTGTTTACTAGTTAATTTATTAATTTGTTTATTCATTCATATAATTATTTAAATGTTTATTTTAATCATTTTTTTTTTTTGTTTATTTGTTTCTTTCTTTCTTTGTACATTAATTTAATTATTTATTGTTTCATTTGTTTATTTGTATATTTTTTTATTTATTTATTTGCGTATTTGTTCATTTATTTGTTTGTTCATTTGTTTATTTATTTCTTTATTTATTACTTGTTTATTAGTGGATTTTTTTATTTAACTTTTTGTGTTATTTGTCTGGAGAATTTTTAATTTCTATATATTTAAAATTTTCACATTGTTTACTATTTTATTTAATTGTTTGTTTATTTATTTATTCATTTGTGCATTTTTTTGTTTATTTGTGCATTTTTTTAATTATTTATTTACATATTTGTGCACTTTTTTGTTAATTTATTTGTTTATTTATTCATTTATTTATTTACTTGTGCGTTAATGTTTGTATTTATTTGTTTGGATAATTGTTCGTTCATTTGATTATTAATTCATTTATTTATTTGTGTATTTTTTATTTGTATACCTTATTTAATTGTTTATTTTATTCATTGGTTTATTTGTGTATTTTTTTATTTAGTTATTTGCTTATTTGTTTATTATTTATTTATTTGCTTATTTATTTATTTATTATTTTTTTATTTGTGAATTTTTGTATCTATTGGTTTGAAAAATTGTTTATTTATTTGATTAATAATTTATTTATTTGTTTATTCATTTGTATAATTTTTAATTATTTATTCGATTCATGTTTTTATTTATCAATTTATTTATTTGTTTTTTTTTGTTTATTTATTTAATTGTTTATTTTTTCATTTGTTTATTTGTGTATTTTTTATTCCTTTACTTGCGTATTTGTGCGTTTATTTGTTTATTTATTTTTTATTTATTTGTTTGTATAATTGTACATTTATTTGATTATTAGTTCATTTATTTATTTAATTATTTAATTATTTAATTATTTAATTATTTAATTATTTAATTATTTAATTATTTAATTGTTTATTTGTTCATTTGTCTATTTGTTTACTTGTTTGTTTCTTTGTTTGTTTATTTATTTATTCATTTGTTTTTTTGTTTATTTTTTAAAATATTTAATTGTTTATTTGTGTATTTTTTTTATTTATCAATTATTTATTATCATTAATTTAATAGCTCATTTGTTTTATTATTTATTTGTTTATTTGCATATTTGTGTATTTATTTGTTTGTTTAATTGTTTTTTTATTTATTTGTATGCTCTCTAAATTTGAATTAGTGAAAATGTTTACTAATTCAAATTTAGAGAGTGTTTGTATATTTGTTTATTGGTACATTTATTATTTATTTAGTGGCTTTTTTCTATTTATTTATTTGTTTATTCGTTTTTTTATTTAATTCGCCACATTAGATTCAAAATGCACAATAAAATATATTCAAAAATATTTATAAATTTTCCTTTTCCTTTATTTTACTTTATTAATTTTTTTTCCCTCTCTCAATAAAAAGCGTTAACATAAAAAATAGTATATTAAAAAAATTAGTTTTCCTTT